AAAAAAAAAAAAAAAAAAAAGAAAGACAAGACTGAGAAAGTACTCTAGATTGGAGTAGACCAAGGAGATGTGGCAGTTTTATTCAGTGTGGGATCCTGGATTGGACGCTGGACCAGAAAAAGGACATTAATGGGATGATTGGCAAAATTTGCATATTTGTAGATTAATTAATGTTATTGTATCAGTGTTAATTTCCTGGTTTTGATAATTGTATTATGTTTACATAAGATGTTACTTGAAAAAAACTGAATGGAGGATATACGAGAACTCTGACTATTTTTACATGTTTGACAGTCTGAAAAATGAAAAGTTAAAAATAAAAAAAATTAGGTAAAAAAAAATTAGATTTCTCTGAGGACAAAATGAGATAATATGTGTGAAGTGCTTAGAACAGTCCCTGTGACACAGGAGTTTTAAACACATGTCAGCTATTATTATAAGTAATTTTATAATTAATAAGTAATCAAGTAATGAGTAATCTATGGTAAGTAATTTATTTTCTAATCTTATATATTCTCACCTGTTTTATACCCCCCTCTCCCCAATGAAAAGCATATTGAGCATATATGTGGTTATTTTAAGAGATAAAGTAAGATCAGATTTTATTTTGAGAAATTTTTGGGGGGTGAAGTGGGGGGTGTCATTCCTCTAGCCACTAATCAGCTCTGACTGAGGCTGGCATTGCACAACTGCTTTTGGCTGGGAAACAAGACTTGCACCAGGTCATCACCCATCCCATGTAGTTTGTGACAGTGCCACTTGGAAGTGCAGTGAGCTTCCCTTAATTCATCGCCCCTGTGCTTCAGGAACTGCTATAGAAATATCATTCAGTTCATTTATTGAACCTTTTCTAGGTGCACATTACAGAGCATTTAATATTCACAACAAGTCTGTGTGATAATTGGCATTTCATTCATTTTAAGATGATAAAACTGAAGCTCAAAAAACTTAAGCGACTTATCCAGGGTTGCAAAGTGAGTGGCAGAGCTGGGATTTGAATCTGGGTCCCCCGACCTCAAGGCTGAGTCTGAATGTTTATGTGAGTCTAATTGTGGAGCCAGGTGTGAGAACTATTAGTATAGAGCAGTGGTGCTCAACTGGGGGTGGTCCCTTCCCTGCATGCCCCCCAACCCCCTGGAGACATTGGGGAAGGCTGCTATTGGCATCTAGTGGATAGGGGCCACACAGACGCTGCTACACGCCGTACAATGCACAGAACAGCCCCCAGCACAAAGAATTATTCTGCCCCAAATTTCAATTATTATACCAGCTGCCAAACCCTGGTGTAGAGTCTTAAAAGGGCAACACTTTGACCTTAGACACATGAGGATTTATTCTTTCTCTTAGCTAATATTTTCTGAGTACTATGCTGGGTAGTGTGAGGGGTATGGAAACAATACACCAGTTTGTGGCACTGAGGAGGTGACTGTCTAGAAGGGAAGGGGGTGGAGGTAGGAGAGGCACATGAACACCTTCAACATAAAACAGAATATGACAGGGGCAAAAAGAGAGTCAGGTCAGGCTAAGCATGCTCACAGGGGGTGAGCCCATGTCTGGTTGTGGGAGGAATCAAGGGAGGCCGTGAGGAGGAGGTGGTTTTGAGCTGGGTGTTTGAGCAAAGTTGAGCTGGTGGGAAAACAATGTTCAGGGAACAGCAAACAGTGTAGTTTGGGTGGGGCATAGAGTATTTGTTAGTGAGTAGAGGGGGGTGGACTGGAAAGGCAGGTTGGATCTAGAGCTTTGAATCCGGCCGAGCACTCTAGCCTTGGTGTCTGTCACAGTGATGGAAAAGCCTTCCCTTCCGGAGTGGTGCTCCAGCCCTAGGGCTGTGGGGGTCCAGAGCTTCTAGAGAGCTGTCTTTACGAAACAGGAAAATTTGAAATTGGGGTGGAGTAGGGTGAACCTTAAGGGCCAAGTTGATGCTGAATGTGTGACAAAGCTGTTTGACCTCATAGTAGCCCTTGGAGAGATGGTGTTCTCAGTAGAAATATGCATGGGGATGAACTCTGCGAAGGGCTGGGACACTTTAGCTGTAGTGAAAACTGGAGCAGATTCAGAACCCCTAACCAAAGGTCTGCTTCCCAAAAGGTAACAACAGGGCTTGGTATAACTTAAGCTTCAAACATGATAGGTGATAGGATTTTTCTAGTTTATAACATTACCATTAGTAACATTAAAAATTGTTGGTGGCATGTCCAGTGCACTATAAAGAATATAAACAAGGACTTCCTTATCTTCTATGAACGTGCAGTTGCCTTCAATACCCTCCTGCCACAGCCACCAAGCTTGGCCCTGAGGAAATTCATTACTCTTCCGGGGACAAAGGCATGGGAGAAAACCTTTGTTGAGCTAGTGTGTGTTGCCAGCTATAGTTGCAGATACTTTCATGTCTAATATATCTCGTTTAACTCTCACAACACCCTTTGGGTGTAAGTACAGTTTCTCCTTTTTGTAAATGAGGAAACAGTCACCGAGAAAAGTTAACTTGCCCCAAATCCCCGTAGCTAAAAGGGGCTACAGTTTAATGCATTTGTGTGGCTTGTCTTACCGCGTTTTCTCCCCGCTTTCCCTGCTTCATTGAGAATTTATCTTATTTACCTGGTCGTGGGCTGCTAGAGACCATGGACGTCAGCATTAGTGGCAGCAACAGAAGGAGGGAAGAGATTAGAACTTTCATTGTGGCTGTCGGTGCTGCTGGAAGTTGCTCGAAAAGTGTATGGAAGGTTCCCAGTTAGAGGCTCCCGATTTCTGGGGATGGCTGAGGGCGGGGTACTCAGCCTGCAATCTGCGCTTTAATCCCAGGCCAGTGTTCCCATCAGAGGGCAAGAACAGGTAAGGTGACGCTGGCCTTGTTAGGTAACAGATTGGACCACGTGTTTTACGGGAATCTAGGAGGTGAAACTGGTCAAACAAAAGAAATGCAGCGTTCTTAAGCACACAAGAAGGTGACAGATAACTTGGCAGCCGTACTCGTCTCCCCGCCTCTCCACCCCTCAGTGCCTTATGATTTCTTGCTCAAGTCTTTTTTCTTGCTTGGATTTCCTTATACATTTTGATGACTCTTTCTAGCTGAATATCTTCCAGGAAAGTGGATACTAAGGGTTGGCAGAAGAGAGGACGACAGGGTGTGCTTCCTCTTTGTTCTGCCCTCCCCCATCATTGGGGGAATGTCCACAATAGCATTGTTGTTGCATGGGAAGTTGCCCTGTCCTCATGCTGTTTTCAGTTCCCTCCAATTCCCTCACTAGGTAAGGTGGAAGGAAGCACAGCTGGGTCAAGGAGAAGCAGCTCTCCCTCACCCAAACACTGTCCCTGGAGCAGTGAGTAGAACCAGGCCTCCTCGTTGTCTGTTGGGAAGGGGGCCCTGGCTTAGTTGCCCCAGTATAAAGGAGAGGGAACTGAATTGGTGGAAGATCCCTAGGGCTTCAGGTGCAAGAAGGTTTGAGAAACAGGAACCACTGGAAGGAAGGAGCCATTAAAATGTGTTCGCCAAGGTTGCTGGGACTCCTGGCTCAGACCTTGTTTGGAAATGGCCCATGGCAAGGTAATGATACTTACAGTAAACATTAAGGGTTATGGAACATCAGCAGTTACTAAAATTGATGTCTGTTCTAGAGACTCTAGGAAATGTGCTCAACGAAAGAGGAGAAGCTGGGCTTGAATGCTGGGTGATATTTGTCGGGGGTGGGGGAAGATTAACAAGGAAATCCTCCCTGGAAACCTCCAGGCAGGAGTGAGAAAAGGTCGTTTAAGTCAAACCCCTTTTGATTTTTGTTCAATCATTCTTACCCTCTCAGTTTTCAAATTATCTTGGCCTGTTGACATGTTAGAGAGTTATGCTAGGCAGTGGAGACTGTCCTCGAGTTGAAGGCTTGGGCTTGGTCTGATACAAACCACTGATGTGGCCTATTTCTGGAAAATTCTAAAGATGGTCTCTGTCTAACCAGGGAGATGACATTCACTTCATAAAAACTAGAGATATAAGTGGAGCCAACTTTCAGAAGTGGCAGGAGTTCACTGAGGACTGAGAGGGACACTGGATTAGGTGGGTCTTGAGCTGGGTCTTGCAGGGAGGGGTAGAATTTGGGTTAGTGGAGGCAGAGAGGAGGGGCAGTGCAGAGAAGGCACATGAGGTTCTCTCTGGGGCTAATTGGATGAGGATCGTTGAGGGCAGGGTCTGTTTATTGTTCATTTTTGTATTCCCTGAACTTATGTAGGGCCTGGCACTTTGGGACTTCTCTATAAATGTGTGTTGGATTGAGTGATAGTTTTGCAATCCCTTAACGAGGACTGATATGTTAGAAAGTATGCAAAGTGTGGCCCGTTAGCAGAAAGAAAATCTTACTGACAAATGATCATGTGTACACATGAAGCTGGTGGGGATGCTTTGCTTTTCCCATCTAGTCCATCAGCCCACACCAAGGCCACTGCAAGATCAGGGAGCTCCACCTCAGACCTTCCTCCGGGCCCCCTCAGTCTGTTTACCCCTCCGTTCTCCCAGGTCGTGGCTCCCTGTCAGTTCTCTCCATCTGGTTTTCGCCTCCATGGACTTCGGGTGGATGTCGCATCCTGTGCGTCATCAGAGGGTCCCTCACGTCTGTTGATAAAACACCCCAAAGATAAATGGACTTTCTCTTGTTAATATTGACAACTTCTCATAGCCCATCTTGAGAACATTATTTGTGTCAACAGAGGTGCCATCTTACGAAGGCCCTCCCCCAGGAAGGAGGTAAGGGGAACATAGGGAGAAAACACCATTTTGCCATGGTTATTTAGAGAACATTATTTGTGTCAACAGAGGTGCCATCTTACGAAGGCCCTCCCCCAGGAAGGAGGTTAGGGGAACATAGGGAGAAAACACCATTTTGCCATGGTTATTTAGTTTCTCCAGTCTACAGTGTGCTTGGTAGACATTTGAAAATGTTTGTTGATTAATTCCATGATTCATGTTGCTCTAATAATAGTCATTTATTCATATGTGCATTCAGTGAACACTTGAGTGCCTACTGTGTGTGCCTGGTATTTGCTAGATGGTGGGTACCTAGAAGAATAAGGTGTGATACTGTCTCCAAGGCGCTCTCAGTATATGCACAGACCTGTGGCGATCTGATCCACCTGCCCTATTTTACAGAAGTGGAAATTAAAGTGCAGGGAAGTTATACGATTAGTTCTACATCTTACAGTCAGTTATCCTCAAAGCCACAGAAGCAAAACACAAGTGTCCTGACTTGCTAGATTTTGTCAGTGTGCAGCTATCTGGCTGCTGCATGTGCAAAGGTGGTGACCTCTAATAGGAGAGAAAGGATATTCAGAATGAAGTGGGAGCTCATAGTCACCCTGGGTTAGCCAGAAGGAAATACCCGATTCAACTGTGACTGAGAAAAGGGCCATCTGGGACATTTGCATTCTCTTTTTTCACTTTGAGCTTGAAATGAGGAAAACTGAGGCCAGAAAACCAAGAGTGGAAGATTCTTCACAGGTGATTGATGAGATGGTTTAAAATAATCTGTATTTATGTCTAGTGTGGTGTTTCTCACAGAACTGTAATGCTCTGGCTTTCTTCTCTCCATAGCCTGTAGCTCTGTGAGGGCAGGGACCAGGTCTGAGTCATCTTTGTCTGTCCTGTGCATAGTACATAGCAGGCTCCGATCAGTATTTCTTAAAAAATAAAACTGAATAAAAAGTATACACCTACACAGGTATGGGATGACTGAGCAGCAGCACAGGTACGAAAAATCAGTATCCCCAAATCAGCTGATGTAGTGTTTGTCTTTCTAAATAGGGTTGTCATGCTGGAACGGGGACACAGATGGTCCTGTGGCCCTGCTGCTCTGGTTTGGACACTCTTAGAACTCTGTTTCTGCTGTGGTTGCCGCACTTCACTTGCCTACGAGAAAGTGACAGGAGAGTGTAGGGGCTGCAGATTACGTCATGTGGAAATGGCTGAGGGAAGATGGGGTGCATGGTGGCTGTCTACACATATGTGACGGTCGGTTTTATGAAAGGTATTAGATTCATTCTGGTGCCTGCAGAGTGTAGGCCGAGGATTGGTGAGTGCGCATCACACATTTTGGCTCAGGATGAAAGAACTGACAAAGTAAAGTAAGTTTCCTTGGAAAATTACAAGTTTATTGGCAGAGTTTAGGCAGGGGCTGGATGTATGAAAACACCTGTCACAGTGATTTTTAAGGTTACGAGGGCAGAGCTTGGCTTGGAACCCAGGTTTTCCACTAATACCATGTATTAGGTATTATAGAAATTGTCCTTTGAGATATGATATTGCTCTATGATGCAGGCTGAACCCTCTGTGACTGTTACTTTCACTCACTGTGGGCAGTTGTGATTCTCTTATCTAATTTGTGACTTGAACTTCGCCCCCTGCCGTCCCCCTCCTCTCCTTTACTAGCGAGAATGGTAAGAGTTTTGTGCAGTTACTGATCACGGTCACAAGGTGGCAGCACGGCCTCACTGGTGTTTCCTAAAAACTCTACCAGGATGTGGGCAAGTCCGAAGGTGGCTGTTAGGATCAGGACAAGGGCAGAAATGAGGCAAACAGGTCAACTTTTTTTCCCTCTCCTCTGTGAAGTGACAGGGTTGAGATGAGTGTGAAATAATTGCATTTTGGAAATGGAAGACGCTTTAGAGAAGNGACAGGGTTGAGATGAGTGTGAAATAATTGCATTTTGGAAATGGAAGACGCTTTAGAGAAGAGCTTCTCAAACTTTAATGTGCTTAGGGATCGCCTGAGGATCTTGTTTAAATACAGATTCTGACTCTTTGGGTGGGGCCTGAGATCCTGCATTTCTAATATGCTTTTGCCATTGCTGCTGGTTGGTGAACCACACTTTGAGTAGCAAGGCTGTAGAGGTCATTTAGGGATTAACTGTCACTGCATCTGATGTATGGATGAAGAGGGACTGAAGTCCAGAGAGAGAACATAACTTGCCTCATACAGCCAGGACTTTAGCACATGACCTTTTGCATTTAAACCCACAGCTAAGGGCAGAAATGAGGCAAACAGGTCAACTTTTTTTCCCTCTCCTCTGTGAAGTGACAGGGTTGAGATGAGTGTGAAATAATTGCATTTTGGAAATGGAAGACGCTTTAGAGAAGTGTTTCTCAAACTTTAATGTGCTTAGGGATTGCCTGAGGATCTTGTTTAAACACAGATTCTGACTCTTTGGGTGGGGCCTGAGATCCCGCCTTTATAATGCACTTTTGGAAGATATCATTGCTGCTGGTTGGTGGGCCACACTTTGAGTAGCAAGGCTGTAGAGGTCATTTAGGGATTAACTGTCACTGCATCTGATGTATGGATGAAGAGGGACTGAAGTCCAGAGAGAGAATATAACTTGCCTCATACAGCCAGGACTTTAGCACATGACCTTTTGCATTTAAACCCACAGCTTCAGCCTCCCAGTCCACGTCCTTCTCCACTATATCATGTGGCCCCTTTAGTGTTGTGAGTGACATTACTTTAGCTTAGAACCCAGAACTTCCATTTGCACCACTCCCTTTGGTCTTTGCTCAAGGTGTCACTTTGGTCACTCTCTTACCCAAAACATTCCATGGCTCTTCTGTAATCACGAAATCAAGTTCAAATGTCCCTGCCTAGTTTTCAAGGCTCGACAACATATGGTCCCACTTTAGCAAGCTTACCTAACTTCCCTGTTTCTT